GGGCAATCGGGGGTGAACTACTGATGCCCCAGCTGTCCTGCCCAGAAATGTCCCAAAATATGCTTACCTGAGACCCCCACATGGGGTAAAAAATCTGAGGACGCAGAAAACTGCGTATTCCGATTGCCAATCGATTGAGCATACTCCGAAGGTAAACAGACCAGAACTGAGGGCGCTATGAGTGTTCTCGTCAAAACAATCAAAAACAGAAAAAAATCGTCTGCGCCCTAAGTTCCGCAAAGAGCTGTAAGGAGTATCCTATAAACACATGCTTACCTGGTATTCCGCGTGGATGCCGCTCGCTGCGGGGCACAGAGCCCGTGGATGATGTGTCGATTCGATTTGATCCTAGTCTAAGGAAGGGATCAGATAGGGGATTTGGGTGGCGAATCCGCAGCGGGGAGTGGGAAAAGGAAAGGGATAAACAATGACGAAACATGGGTGAGGGATGCAAGTTGATGACGCGCTACTCGGGCGGCGCTGGAGGGGAACGGGATCAGGAGTAGACAGACAGGTGTGGTAGATAGAGACACGGATGTATAAGGTTGCACAAGTATCGGAGTATCAGTAGGGAGGCGGCCCGCATCTGTGGATCGCGCGATGAGACAAGATTCTATGCAGAAATAATTGTTCGGCCGAGCGGCCTGAGTCCGGGTGCATGGGGCCGGTCATAATCGATTCCGAGTTTGGGTAGGTTGGAGTCCAAAAGCAAGTCCGAACGCGAGTCAGAAGAAACGACTCAGAAGAGACAGCGGTGTCTAAAAGCGTGCGCATGTGCGTGGAAGGGAAAAAGCCAAGCCGATATGTGTATGCTTTCTGTCGAGATTTTCAGCTCCAATGTGCATGCTGTCTGTCAATACCTGTTTTCAAAACCGGCGCTGTCATTTCACCGAGTAATCGAGGGTATTTGTTGCCGCTTTTGAAACGACGTCTTCATTAACCGATCCCTTGAAGCGATCCATTCAACACCATACCCACTAAAACCCCAGCTTGAAGAAGTCAATCCTTCGGCAATTTTTCCTCCTTCTCGAGCGTGTCCTGCCAAGTTTCTAGAACTAGTTTAGGCGGTAGGGAATATGTTTGCCGAACTTGTGCAAAAAAACGGAATTTTACGTGATAATGTCGAAAGATTTGGGGCCGTGATCGGAAAGGTCCAGTACAGTGTGTCGGGAACTTCTTCCCACACCAGCGTTGACTTGTCACCTGGTAATATGAGATTCAGAAACCAAGGAATATGCATGTTAGCTCCAACGTGCATGTTATCCATTGAGAACTTTTTACTAAACCGGCGTTGGCTTGTCACCGAGGTTGGAGCTAGCATGCATGTTCCTTGGTTTCTGAAGGACTAAGCGAGCAGGCAGGTGGATCATTACCGGGAACCCGACCCGGATTTTGGGCTAAATCTCCAGCTGAGGTGTCCCTGCGCGCCAAAAAATTCACTTAACTCGCGGGTGAGGCGTACACATTTTTCCGTCCCAAAATTGCGTTTCCGCGTCGCTAGAACGGAGTTTAAACAGTAGTGTGAGAACGGGGTGGAGCACCTGACTTGAAATTCGCATCTTGATATTTGGGTTTCTATTACTCGGTGACATGACAACGCCGGTTTTGAAAACAGTTATCGACAGACAGCATGCACACTGGAGCTGAAAATCTCGACAGAAAGCATGCACATTTCGGCTTGACTTTTTCCTGATGCCATGCGGACTTGCACTTCGCCAAGTGAGCCTAGAAAAATGTATAAAATCCCACTCAAACAATTCCTCGTTTCCTCACCAACCTCATCAACACTTTTGCAGTGAGTACATTCTAGCACCACAACCATTCACTGTTGCTGACACCGTCATCTGAGCAGTAACACTATCACACCTACATTTATTCTGGTAAGTAACTTATTCTGTTGGCAACTCCTTTGCATCCCTTCCGTTTTCACTGACATTCTCTAAGCAACGATGGTCTGGGTCTCCAACTACGCCTCTGTTTCCATCGTCGTCTCTGTGACCACCGGCGACAGTGGCAAATTCACACTCTACCCCAAGCAGAATGAGACATGGGGTCAGAATCACTGGAATCGCAAAGGCCCGGAGACAATCACCATCACTTGGGCTGGAGGGAAAACGACGTCTTTCAAAATCGAAAAGGACGATCATGTGCTTGTTTGGGATGACGCATATGGGGTGGAGAGTAATGTTATTACCACCAAGGTCTGAACAGCTGTTCAAATATACAATCCATTCGCGTACTGTACTATTGCAACCGTAGGTAGCGGATGTGACCTGTGACCTCTTACGTTCAACTTGGGATTGGTTCAATTGCCTTTTTGGGCGGTTTCTCGGAATTATTTTCGGTTATAACACATTTCTTCAAGTTATCCCTTGAGCAGATATTGCATGTGAAGTTCTTCATGTTCTTGAGTCAGCGGCTCCTCGAAGGCAACGTAAGTTCTCTGTTTGAGCACATTTCCAGTTTCACCTTTCTCTTATACATGCTCCCGGATCCTTTACACATCGAGCGACTCGAGAGGATGTCAATAGCACGCAACTCGCTGCAATTTTCGCTCGCTCTTTTCGATCTGCCTAATTCGCGCCTGATTCATAAATTCATATTTTGTTTGCACTCCGCTGGCTCTCAGGTAAATCCCGTCACTGGTGATTTGCAATTGCAACCCCAGAATTGTGGCGACCTTCCCGGTACCTCTGATCTATCCCTGGACGCGTGGGCCCAGCAATCTTCCGCGCACAAGATTTCGCCAACGGCTGCGAATATAGGCGGATATTCTCCAATCGTTATTTTGGAGAGCTTGAACTCCGGAGTCCGAACGGTATTTGACCGCGTTCTTGACCATGCACGTGTTTGTTACGTTCACACATACATGTATAGAATAGAAGGGGAAAAAAACGCTGTAGGGATTTACCCGAATTGATGTTTGCACCACGCTAGTACGGAAGCCTAGAATGGGTGAATTCAACAGCCAGACTAGCTGCCGGGAGATCAACGGAGGAACGGTAGTGTCAAATGGGCGGCAATGACAATCGGCAAGCGGCCGGCTATATATGCCCCGTCATATTATTGATCCGTGGTCGATCCGTCCTACTTGTGGGCGATTGCTGTATGTACGGAATGTATGGCAGTATTTCCGGCTGCTTCACGGGTGCCGACAAAGTGCCGAATAAGGTCAAGGTCAGCAGCCCTACATGCCTGCTCAAGTTAGCCACAGTGAAAAATCAGGTTGCGGAAGCCTAGAGGATTCAAGCCGCAAGAGTTAAGGGAGCTGGAGATTTCCTGGATCTATCTGTCCCACATGGGCCACATCTATCTCAGCTAATTTAACTGAGATCTTTGCAAGCCCCCCTCTATTGTAGCTGGGCACCGGCGTATAACATCAGCATACAAAACATACTTTCTGTGTTCTGATAATACCACATGAGGTGCTCCCCGGCTTCCACGAGGTTAGTACTAGATCCAAACGCGGGGATCACCATCGGGGTGATCGGGATATAACTTCAAGACTTCTGTGGGTGCGATAGAACCTATCTCCTAACGAGGCCTACTCCAGCTCTTAAAGTCCCGGCGATTCATCCATGGCTTGCATCGAGGACGTTAGGCAATCCGCCTTTGATGCACATAGAGACGTGACTAACAAAAAGATGCAGGTCTGAGACGACGTTGAACCGCATCTCCAGCTTCTACGCGAATACGTGCAAAGCTGCCCGACTGAAACGCACGATAATGTCGGGTTCATTGTGTCGGAGTCACCCCGTCGTATTCCGCGATGCTCCCGCCGATTATTCTGCGCTGGGTGCGATGCAGGCGAGGCCGGAGGTTGAATCCATTGCAAACGTTTCGCGGGTTTGGTTGTCTTACAGCTATTTGCGGAACATAAGGCGCGGATCATTTTTTTTCTAAAAAAAGCACTTTTCACTAATGCCCCTCCAACTCACTCAATTCTTCCCCAAATGTCTTCAAACCTAGACCAAACAATGGGAAATAACTTTCTGCAGTGCTTAGGGTATGTGTAATATTTATTTTACCCGACCGACATGTCCAAATGGGGCAACAGACAGTTTTCAGCTGTTGCCCCTCTATCTGTGAAGATAATGCCCAAGATCTCTTGAGACTCTATGAATGGCTTCTCAACTAGATATTATATTGCTTAGGGTGCATTTTACTGCTATATTCTGAGGTATAGGGTATGAAATATCACTCAAATTTAACATATGTTTGAAATCCTCATAGATCACCATAATTAAACACATCTGCAGATTTTCTACCATCCTAAGCAATGTGTTATATATCCATAAGTTGTCCCAAGGCACAATTTCCAGAAACTGAAGGATAATGCTCATGATACAGGGGCAATAGCTGAAAATTGTCTGTTACCCCATTTGGACATGTCGGTTGGCTAAAAGAAATATACCACATACCCTAAGCACTGCAGAAAGTTATTTCCCATTGTTTGGTCTAGGTTTGAAGACATTTGGGGAAGAATTGAGTGAGTTGGAGGGGCATTAGTGAAAAGTGCTTTTTTTAGAAAAAAAATGATCCGCGCCTTATGTTCCGCAAATAGCTGTAAGGTTGGGTTAGAGAAGAGAGGAAGAGAAGAGACAAGGAAGATAATGTGTGTAACTGAGTTATATGTGTCTTTCTGTGGGTTCGAACACTGGCTCTCCCAAATCCGACCTCAGAAAGAAAATTCACCGCAGGGTCTAGGGACCCAGAGCGGAGTGACTCGGATCGCGGGCATGGAAAGACCTGACCGAACAACAGGGAGTACGAAGTCTCCATTGTATCAGTAGTAACATCAAACCAAATCTGCCAGTATTTGGTGGGATTGAATGCGTGTATAGCCCCCTGCATTTATCAGATTCTTCCGAAAAGGAAGATGAATCAGGTGGAGCTTACCCTGATTAATCCCGGATTTTTGTACTGACTGGACAACGCAAGAGAAAAATGGCCGGAATGGAAAAATAAGTCTCTGCCAAACCCTTTGCCAAACCCTTGCATGTCGTCGGGTGGGGTCGAACCACCGGCTCTCCCTTATCCGTTATACATGCTCTGGCCAACTACGCATCGGATGGGAGCGAGTTCCATGCTCCACGACGACTTGACTGGTGAAATAGATATGTAAGTGCGAGTGAATCAATCACTGAAGTACCTACGATATATGCGTGATACTATAGAGGATGACTCCAAGTAGGATGCGAGGGCGAGGGCGAAGGCGAGGTGAGGATACAGAGCGGCCCGGGAGGGCGGGATGCGTGAGAGTGAGTGTCAGTACAGGGCTCAGGCATGAATGATACGGGACTCGTACGCGCATGCCAGCAAGAACCGGAGAGCATTGCACTGACATCAATTCAATTGACGAAGTGTGGCTCCGATAGGTCCGATGGGTAGGGGAAAGTACAGGCACGCAGAGGGCGAGAAAGTTTGTGCTCCATGTCAGGATCCGGCAGTATGGAAGCAGTCTGTCCGCGGGGCAAGCAAGCGACTGAAAAGAAGGATCGAACGAAAAAAGCGAGACCTCGCAGCCCCAGAACAGACTCGGAGGTAATGGCGCTGACGCCGTGAAACACTTTACATTCATCGTTCTGTGCGTTACTCCGATAGATCCTCTGTAAGATTTCGATAAAACGACCGCAAGTGGGTGGGCTCTGCGCGCCTGGCTACGACGGGCACCTTCCTGAGAGCTCAGAGGAAGTTTTTCGTACCCCGAGCCCTCGCAGGTTCGCCGTGCCTTGCACGTCGAGCTCCAACTCGATTTGCCGGATTAGTGCATCGAGTAGCTTTAGGTGCACGTGTGCAAGTCTTAGAACGGGCCCAAAAGTTGACAGAAGTGCAGAAGGGGAGATGCATGGTGGTGGTTGAAAGAGAGAGTCGTGGCATCTTGATCGGATCATTCTCCGTGCCGTTTCGGCGTTCTAGCTCACCATCTTGCTCTCACCGCTCGCAGCACTCGGCCCGTAGAAGTCGTTCGGCGCATGAAGATGGCTCCCGAGTCGGCATGTGCGCATCCACGACGTGAAACATCCGTTATCCGAGCTTCAATTCTTGGATTTCAGATTGTCTTTGACGCCTTCGGCCATACACCTTTGACGCCTTCGGCCATAAACCGACGCATGCTTCGAGTAGGACTTCCGAGTCTGCACCACCGTTCTGCGGGAGATCTTTATGCTCCATTCTCACCTGTCTCAATCATCCAAGTACGTCAACCGTGCGACTTGACCGCTTTCAAGGCTTTGAACGACGTGTCCCATGTCCCTCGCCTCCTGATGAGCTCTTTTAGCCATTCGTAGTGGTCGTGCCCAAATGGCTCGTCGGGTTCCAGGAGAAGATGTCGATAGGACGCCGGTGGGGTAACATCCGCCATGGTGGAGCAAAGCAAAATTCAGAGCAAGTGTGGCACATTATGGGTCCAACTTGATCATCCTTCTTATACCACGTCACTGATTTAGCGACGGTCTAGAAAGGCAGACACAGAGAGTGAGAGGCACATATTGGAGCACAAACTGAACCCGGGAAGGCACGAGTATCCGGCGTCAGCGAGTAGGCTGATAGCTGCTCACAAGTGGAAAGGTCAGCTGGAAAAGAGGATAAGAACAAAAAAGTTTATTTATCCTTGCCTTATGTCTTCGGGTGGAATCGAACCACCGACTCTCTCGAGCCACGGCTCACTGCGTTCCGGGGACCCCTAGACTCAGATCAGTCTAGCTGGTTGCGCCTCTGTTTAGGTGTGTTAAGTCTCCAGACAGACCCTGTCTGGGCGACTAAACGGATCTTATGGCGAGCTGAGTGCGCCTCATGTCTAGCCGCTATCAGTCCGGCTAAACAGAGATCAGCTTAGGTCAGTTTAGCCGATTACGACCTCTAGCCAGACCTACTGTACCATTTTGATCAAGTCTTCAGCCCATGTCACGCGTCACCTAAGGTCTTCAGTTTATCAGGTCTTCATTCTGACTAATATGATCAAAAATTGCCTGAAATGGAAGGCCGGCAGATGCCGGCAAGACTTTTTGGGCGTTTTTAAGCCTATTTGGGCCGAAATTTTTCAATGTCACCGTCACCACGACCAAAAGTCTTCAGTTCAGAGGGCCGCATCACGCGTCACCTGAAGACTCGGTCGAAATGGTACAGTACATGGACTCCCACTGACCTCCACCGACCTTCTCTGTAAATCCACAAATAAGTTTCATTCAAGCCAAATGATATATGTTTAGCTCTTCGTAGGTGACTAGGAAGGGCTATGCTGACCCACACTGATCTAGACTCACACGCACTGATCGAATCACACCTATCCAGAGCCAAGCAGAGCCAAAAAAGACTGTGTTTAGTTGCCTAGCCATAGTCTTCTGTGTATCTATTGCTAGGAGACCTAGACTCAAGTTGAGTTTAGGAAGGCCCGGAACGCAGTGAATCGGTTTCATGTTCGATCTATCCGTGCCTTTTCTAAACCACAGAACAAGTATGTACGACGACCATAGAATAAATGGAATTTTCACTCATGGACTCCTCGAAACTGAATGAATATTGGACCACGTGGACACGTGACTACTCGGAGCTCGCCTTGCCATCCCTGCTTCTTGTTCTCGTTATTGCTCTTTCACATTTATTTGCAAGTTTCCCGGGCGCGGATGCTATCTTCTTGGCAGTCCTATTCTATGCATGCCAAATCGCACGGTGCCCTCGGCTTTCCAATATGATAACCATAGTTGTGGCGTTCCCTTTCCCCTCACTGGACGGCATCTGGCGTCGTCTATTTTTGCTATCTCTCCGGTTTCCTTAGGTTGAAAAATGCTCGGTCAATTGGCTCCCCCTCAATTTACACCTTCATGCTTCCGCCTTTTATCATGATAGCATTCAGGTACCGCAAACTAGACCTTCTCCCAAATTTAGGATTGGGTACCGAACAATTTCAGAGGTTGCAAGGTCCATCAAACGTCAAGCAGGACAGCCGTCAGACTACTACAGCTTCTTGTCACAGCCAAGATTTCATCCGGTCAGCACCCCTGGCATCTCCTGGGAATTTAAATCCGGGGTAAGGTAGGTAGGTAGGTAGCATTACACGGCATGGTCCAACTCATGAACGCCGGTTTCCAGGAATTTTCCTGATGTACACATACTAATTACATCATCGTCCCTGGGCCCTCCTGTATCCCAATAGCCGAGCTCACGGTCGCAATCTTGACAAGTCGCCGCGGTAGAACTAAAAGAACACAGAAGAACGAAAAATATCAGCACATCAATCCGGGACAGCCATTCAGATCAAGCAAGGACCGATGATTATCGGTTGATAGGTCGGATCCCGGGTCCGGACAAATTTTTGAAATCTGCCTTGCGAGGTGACCGCCAGAGTCCGGACAAATGGGCCTAACGTGTGCAGCAAGTCTGAGTCGGAGTCCGGACAATGGGTGTCAACAGGACCAAGGTCTGTTCCCACATCCGGACATTTGGTGGTGGCCCTCGATCCTTGTTGCCTGTAATAGCTAGCCACAATCCGATGACTAAATATAATTCGAGTCCTTGAAACCAAGTCCAAAAACAGGCAAACAATCTCCCCTTTCCACCGGCGTGTCTCGAGGAATATCCAATTCGTATTGGCAACTCTACTTGCCACGAAAGTATTGGTGCTTTATCATTGTTGTACAGGTGTATGAGCACGAATTCGTTCGAGATCATTCCTCATTCCACACCCTCGTTGGGCACAGTGCGGTTCGAACACTTGCCAGCAAACACCTTCTTGGCACTCCTCCCACGAGACAACACAATCAAGGGCCAAGGCCATCTACAATCACATTGAAATTGGCGCTCACAAAATCTTCGAAGAGCTTACATTTGAGAAAGAGGTGCATGCAAAGGCTGTTGCGAGCCTGAATACAGTTCGAAGGAAAGGGAAGGCACATATTCATATTACGGAGCTGGAAGAGGACGACTGCATAGAGGAATGAAATATTAGGATTTTTTTTTTATTTTTTCGCATTTTTGCCGCCTTTTTTGAGGTCTGAGCCGAAGTCCAGACAAAAAAAAAATTGGTCGAGGTCAGAGCCAAAATCCGGACAAAATTTAGGGCCTCCGGCGGGTCCAAAGTCCGGACAAAAATTTTCAGACCCCCAAAATCCGGATCCGACCTATCAACCAATAATCATCGGTCCTATCAAGCATCATCTATACGAAACACGGGAACCGCGTAATAAACCTATAGGACATCATAGCAGTACTTAGCAACCAGCGCAATTATGGACCTTGGATAAATAATGGCATCGAGAAACTCTGTGTTTGAGAGCTTTGCCATTTGCCGTTGTAAGTCTGGAATTTCAGAAAAGAGTTTCGCGAGAAATTTGCCCTTAATTAATCAGTGCGTCCGATGATTCACAGGAAATTAGGGCATGTTCAGGCGTCTCGACTTCTGCTTTACAGAACCTACAAAGGCGATCCGATCGCGGGACTGATTGATGTGCATGATCGATGTAGCGCAAGATCTCTACGGCAAGCTGATGGGTAGAGAGTAACACGGAGGTTAGCGCCTCACGATGCTTTTGAGTCTTCACCATGGAAAGGTAATGCCGTAAACACGAGATTAGTTGAGTAGGTCGTTTGTCCTTGTTCGGTTCAAGACGGCCACGTAACAGATATAGCTTTTCTGAGTCAACCTCGCTTTGCAGCCATTCCAGCATAAGCTTCTGCACCAATTTAGCGTAGTCTTCGATGTCCTGGATGGAGGTACACATCGAATATAGCCATTTGCACCACACTACCCACGCAGCCGCACGAAAGAAGCGCCAACGTGGCGGTGGCTGGTGTGAACACAGCATTTCCACCTTGCCTCTCCCCACCACGCTCAGCATGTCCTTCGCTCTCGAGCACACTCACATTAGTGGGGGCACCTCCGATAATGTCTCTGGCAACATGGCTCAAGTTAACAATTCACATGGGGCCGTAACCGCGAGCCAACAAGTGCCCAATGGGGCGCAGAGATTTCTCCGTACGTCCCAAGTCAGATTCCGGGATCACATTGATTTATGTTTGCAACGTCTTGCCTGTATCTACAGCGGGAGGGTCTACTGTTGTCGTGGGGCCGCAACGAGCTGGAAGGCAGATAAGAAATGTACA